TAAATACCTTTTTGGCGCTGGATGTATGGGCCCTAAATAAATAATGAAATACATTTTTACAGATTGACGTGATTATAAACAAAGATCAGTTTAATGACGAAGGGGATTTCGGTTGCTGGTTGTTGTATATTATGTCATTATTTGAATTATTTTAATGTGATTTATTTCAATTTAATGTGGTTTTAGAGATGCAGATGCACCTTTTTTCTTTTTCTTTTTACAGTTTATTGCAGGAGATAAAATCAGACTCACCAGAGCCCAGCTGTGTGTCTATGAAGAGTGACTGGTCTATGGATCCACCACTGCATTGAAGGCATAAAAACAAATCATTAGACTCACCAGAGCCCAGCTGTGACTGGTCAATGGATCCACCACTACATTTAAGTCATAAAAAGATATCACACCACAGGTACAGAATTTCTGCATACATATGCGATCAGTATTATACAAACACACAACTGCAAGCATTCACTGATGCTCAAGAAGAAAAACACAGCGCACTAAGAGCATTTGGTAGCTCTCCAGCAGCAGAGCAGGCTGTAGAAGAAATAAAGGCAGTACAGGGGAGTCCAATCCTTCTTCCAATCTTTCCCTGAAAAGTTTAGTTTCAACCCTAATAAAACAACCTTAATTTTATTTCAAAGGCTTATTTTTTGCTAATCATTTTCCACTCTTGCCTGGTTAAGGGTTAAAGATCATATTTTTTCATGTTCTTCCAGTTCATCATTGGAACACAAATTAAGATGTGAAATCTGAGAGATTTAGATCAACCGTACTTGCTTGATGTGCAAGAACAAAGCTCAAAATGTGCTGACAGGACATGAGAATGAACCTGATTGTATAACCCTTTACTTTGTAACAGTGTAGTCCAGCAGAAAACAATACAACTTAAAGGTTTAGTTCACCCAAAAAGGAAAATTAGCCCATAAATTACTCACCCTCAAGTCATCCTAGGTGTATATGACTTTCTTCTTTCAGACGAATCCAGTCGGAGTTACATAAAAAATTGTCTTTGATCTTTCAAGCTCCATCATTGTACTCAGCGGGTGTTGCATTCCTTCGGTTCAAATGACGTGAAATAAAAAGCACCCTTCCACAAAAAAAGTGTCTCACATGGCTCCGGGGGGTGAACAAAGGCCTCCTGTAGCGAATCAATGCGTTTTTGTAAGAAAAATTTACATATTCAAAATGTAATAATCACTCTAATCTAGCTTGCGCCAGCAGTTGTACACAGAAGCAGCTCCGGGAGCATGACGTATGGGGTCAGCTTTGTGCATGCGCCGGTGCGCCTCGTGAAAACCAACGTTTGTTTACAGGATCAAAATAAGCAAAGTTTCCTTACTTTAGCAAAGGAAAACCAGTCTCCTCTTGGCTTATATCGAAATCCTCCGATGTTCTTCTTTACAAATCCTCATTTTGTATTTCTAATTAGTGACCGTTGTTTTGTTTCGATCTCTACGTAATTCCCCCAGAACTGCTTCCGTTTACAACAGTGAGCGCAAGCTAGATTCAAGTGATTATTACGTTTTGAATATGGATATTTTCTTACAAAAACGCATCGATTCGCTACAGAAGGCCTTTGTTCACCCCCCGGAGCCATGTGAGGCACTTTTTTTTTGTGGAAGGGTGCTTATTATTTCACGTCTTTTGAACCGAAGGAATGCAACACCCGCTGAGTACAACGATAGAGCTTGAAAGATCAAAGACTAGATTTTTTATATAACTCCGACTGGATTCGTCTGAAAGAAGAAAGTCATATACACCTAGGATGCATCGGGGGTGAGTGAAACGCAGCCTAATTTTCATTTTTGACTGAACTAACCCTTTAAAGGGATACTTCACCCCGAAATGAAAATTTTGTCATTAATCACTTACCCCCATGTCGTTCCAACCCCATAAAAGCTTTGTTCGTCTTCGGAACACAATTTAAGATATTTTGGATGAAAACCGGGAGGCTTGTGACTGTCCCATTGACTACCAAGTAACTTACACTGTGAAGGTCCAGAAAAGTATGAAAAGCATCGTCAGAATAGTCCATCTGCCATCAGAGGTTCAACCGTAACGTCATGAAGCGACGAGAATACTGTTTGTATGCGAAGAAAACAAAAAATAACAACTTTATTCAACAATTCGTCTCCTCGATGTCTGTCTGCATCACCGTAGCGCCATTTTGTAGAATATGAGCCGAACGCAGGCAGCGTACACTCTTCTGTGTCAGCGCGACACAAGGATACATTTTCTACGTGTATTTACGCTATGATTTGAAAGAAAACAGCGCATCCTTGTGTCACGGCTGACACAGAAGAGCGTAAGCTGCCTGCGTGATGTGGACAGACAGAGGAGACGAATTGTTCAATAAACTCATTATTTTTGTTTTCTTTGTGTACAAAAAGTATTCTCGTCGCTTCATAACGTTACGGTTGAACCTCTGATGGCAGATGGACCATTCTGACGATGCTTTTCATACTTTTCTGGACCTTGACAGTGTAATTTACTTTGCAGTCTATGGGACAGTCACAAGCCTCCCGGTTTTCATCCAAAATATCTTAAATTGTGTTCCCAAGACGAACAAAGATTTTACAGGTTTGGAATGACATGGGGATAAGTGATTAATTAAAAGAAAAATCATTTTGGGGTGGAGTAACCATTTAAGGTTTAACAACTTCAATCATTAGAGAATGACTTGTCAAAAATTTTGTAAATGTGTTGAAAATGTTGTGAATATACAATTCTAAATGTAATGTGCTAAAGAATATAGTTAATAAAAAGAGAACCAAAAAGTTGGTACATGAGAAGTAGCAGATAGAGCTGGTGGTAGAGACCATGAATGTTGTTCATTGTAATGCCATGAGTATTTCTCTTGATCTGACATTCATAGAAAAATTAATGTAATGGAAAAGAAGATGTCAATGAAGAGTTCAGTGGATCGGCTAAAACATTCGAGGTATGGAAACACTGGTCACCACTACAGTTTGTATAGTTCTGCATACTTACATTTTTGTTGATCAGTATTTAGACGCACAAGACCAAATTATTGTGGATTGTTTAATAGTAATTTAAAGAGCAGGTCATATGGGTTTTTGAAAAATATCTTTTTTTGCAATTTGTAATGTAGCTACCCTTCAATGTAAACAATCTGCAAAGTTGTAAATCAAAAAAGTGCATGATAAATAAAAATATTGTCTTTCAAAAGAAAGAGTCGACTCTGAACCGCTGAGATTTTTGAATATTCTGCCTGTTACCTATATACGTCACAAGGTAACACATTTGCATAATTCCCGCCTGCACGCGAAATACAAACACTCTGATCTGCCCACTAACACTTCCGCTAGTTAGTGTGTTTACATCATGTTGAGAGGACACTGTGTTTTGAGCCTCACTGGGCATTCTAACAGTTCCCACATGTGCACCTCAAATAAGTAAATTATAAGAATGAATGCAAAAAAAATGCTGTCACATCAAGTAAAGTACCACATACAAAGTTTAAACTTACCACTGAGAAACATCCTGATCAAGTTGTGCTTGCGATGGACTGTCCGTCTGAGTGACTGCATCGGATTATCCTCAGACTCGGGCTCGAAATGATAAGGTAATATCAGTGCCATTTTTGTAACTTTATAGCATCTTTGTTTACAAGTAACCCTCCGGAGCAAAAAAAAAAATTATGGTAATGGGCATTTAGTTTCCGACACGCATTGCATATGGAAAGACCAATCACAACAGACTTGGCCAGCTAACCAATTAGAGCAGAGTAGGCTCATGGAAGGGAGGAGTTTACAGACTCAGAACTGCTTCGAACAAATCGTTTCGAACTCGTTGAAAAATTATTCTATTATTAAATGTATATTCTGAGAAAATTACAATGTTTTCTGACCTTAGATGCATTTAAACCTGTTGTAGGGGACCCCAACACAATATTAGGGCAATTTAAAATACCATATGACCTGCTCTTTAATCTTCACCTGGGGCCTGATATAAAAATGTTGTGTACACACAAAATGCATATTGAAATATGCTTATGGAATTTTTCACATGCACCTATTGGAAGTTATTAAAAAATAAAACTGCCGTAAATATGTGCTAACCGTCCATACACTCTAGACAATGAAGTAAACAAAATGATTTAAAATATTTGCATCTGTCTGCACCGATAGCCTTGTGGGTAGCATGCAAATATAAAGCGCCGTTGCGCTACGGTCGTCCCGAGTTTGAATCCCGACTCGAGGACCTTTCCCGATCCCACCCCCCTCTCTCTCCCACTTCACTTCCTGTCAGCACGTCACTGTCCTATCATAAAAAAAATCTTAAAAAAATAAAAACATTTCCATCTGACATAACCTACACATTTATGTTAAATGTGTATCTCATACTCTTGTTAATCAGAATATTTATGAATTTATTAAATATTTGTAATGGATGAACTGCTTTGGGTGGTCGAATGGTCCATAGGTCCGATAACACAGTACTGTATTGCTGCCGCACCGCACCACATGCAGGTGTGCTGTATTGTGTGCAGACAGACAGTAGCCTAATAATAACAACACCTTTGCAGTCTTCCAAACATTATGAAAATGTGTTTTTCATGTCAGCATGAAACGGAAGTTGCTATTGTCTTTTCTTTCCTATTGTAACATATATCAATGTGAAACAGAAAATGTATGGTGGGATTTAATTGGGTCCATATGGAATTCATTGAAACATTGGATCATTATCGTTAGCTATTGTTGAATCTCATGCAGGGATGCATACTTGTCACCGTTTTTAATTCATAATGGGTCATGGGGTCAAAATGGGGGGGGGGGACTTTTTACAGTTCCAGTAGTACCAACTCGGGTCTGAGGAGGAAGCTGTCATGGATGAACGAATGAGGCATTTTATATAGCGCTTTTATTGTGTATTTCTGTACACCCAAAGTGCTTTACAATCATTTGAGGGGGTCTCTCCTCAACCACTACCAGTGTGCAGCATCCACCTGGATGATGTGATGGCATCCACAGCACAATGGTGCCAGTGCCCTCACCACACACCAGCTACAGGTGGAGAAGAGAGACAGTGATAGAGCCAATTCAGTGAATGGGGATTATTAGGAGGCCATGATTGACAAGGGCCAGCGGAGGGAATTTGGTCAGGACACTGGGGTTACACCCCTTACTCTTTACGAGAAGTGCCATGGGATTTTTAATGACCACAGAGAGTCAGGACCACGGTTTCAAATATCTATCAGCGAGGCGCCATGAGCCAGCGCCCTGGAGGATGCAACACTCCTAGTAGAGTGAGCTCGCAACCTGAGAGGGCAGGGCACACCCTGTGCCTGATAAGCCAGGGTGATGGGGGCCATCCTCTGCTTAGAGACGGCATTCCCCTTCTGCCGGCCTCCGTAACAGACAAAGAGCTGGTCTGAGGTCCTAAAGCCTTGTGTCCGGTCTACGTAGCATCTCAAGGCTCGGACGGGACAGAGCAAAGCTAGGGCTGGGTCTGCCTCCTCTAGGGGCAGTGCTTGCAGGCTCACCACCTGATCCCTGGAGGGAGTAGTGGGAACCTTGGGCACATAGCCGGGCCGGGGCCTTAGGATTACCTGGGAGTCAGCCGGCCCAAACTCTAGGCACGAATCGTCGACCAAAAATGCGCGCAGGTCCCCTACCCTCTTGATGGAGGCCAGTGCAAGCAGGAGCAGAGTTTTCATTGAAAGAAACTTTAGCTCGACTGACTGCAAAGGCTCAAATGGGCCCTGCTGTAGTGCTTTGAGCACTAGAGACAGGTCCCAAGAGGGTATAGAGGAGGGCCGGAAAAGATTTAACCTTCTCGCTCCCCTAAGGAACCTGATGACCAGATCATGCTTTCCTACCGACTTCCCTTCCACGGGGTCATGGTGAGCAGCAATCACAGCGACATAGACGTGGAGGGAGACAGCCTTCACTCCAACCCTTGCATCTCCGGGGGTCTTCCCGACGAGAAGAACACCACTCGACGAACAGGTTCCACTTCAAGGCGTAAGCGCGTCTCATAGACGGTGCTCACGCCGAAGTGATGGTGTCAACTACCACTTGGGGTAGGTCAGCAAGAACCTCCACATCCCGTCCAGGGACCAGACATGAAGTTTCCAGAGGTCTGGATGCGGGTGCCACATGGTGCCCCGTCTCAGAGGAATCTGCCAGGGAGGGGCTGTCGCGAGGAGCATTAGTTCGGTGAACCAGGTCTGAGTGAGCCAATACGGCGCCACAAGCAGGACCTGCTCCTCGTCCTCCCTGACCTTGCACAGCATCTGTGCGAGAAGGCTCACTGGGGGAAACGCATACTTGTGCAGGCCCCGCGGCCAGCGCGTCCGTGTCGAGTATTCCCTCTACCAGGGAGTAGAACAACCGGCAGTGAGAGGTTTCTGGAGAGGCAAACAGGTCTACCTGAGCGGCTCCGAAACATCTCCAAAACAGCTGGACCGTCTGGGGATGGAGTATCCATTCTCCCGGGAGTGTAGTTCGTGACAGCTCGTCAGCCATACGGTCGAGCAGACCCGGCATGTGAATAACACTAAGTGACCTCAGAACCTTCTGACTCCAAAGGAGGTGGCGGCGGGCGAGTTGCGACATGCTACGGGAGCGCAGACCACCTTGTCGGTTGATGTACGCAACAGTCACCATGTTGTCCGTTCGCTTGCCTCTTAAGCACCCTTTGAGATGGTTCAAGGCAAAGCACACTGTTAACAACTCTAAGCAATTGATATGCCAGTGCAGTTGAGTCCATACCCCTGACAATGCGTGCCCGTTGTACATGGCCCCCCAGCCGGTGGGGGAGTCATCTGTGTTAACCACAGTATGCCTGAAGACGGAGGCATCTGTGTAAACCCCAGCATGCCTGGAGACCAGTTCTAGGGGCACTCCTGCCCAGAGGAATGTAAGGTCTGACTATGGGGTGAAGGTTTGGCGACAGGCCGGTGTAACTTGGACCCGGTGAGTGCCACGCTGCCACGCCCACCTCGGGACTCGGCCATGAAACCAGTGCTGGAGTGGTCCCATACGTAACTGCCGCTGCAACTGCATCGCACGACCAAGAGAACTCGCAGTGACCTTCGTCGCTCGGAGCCCGAGGTCAGTAGCGGTTCGGAGCTCTTTGAGAACTTCCAGATCATGACCACCCTTGTGCAGGTCCCTCAGTGCCTTGGCATGATGAACCTGCAATAACGCCGTAGCGTGTAAGACGGAGGTAGCTTCTCCACAGGCCGTATAAGCCTCGCCGGACAGGCCAGACGAGTACCTACAGACCCGGGAGGGCAGGCACGGATCGCCCTTCCGGGTGGAGGCGGTATTAGGACACAATTGAATTGCAACCGACCGCTCCACCGGAGGGACCCTTGTATATCCCCTAGCTGCACCATTGTCGAGGGTGGTGAGGGTGGAGGAACCAGCAGGTCGGTTTCCGGCAGTAAAAGGTGACGTCCATGACCTGGTGAGCTCCTTGTGGAGAACCAGCGCGAGCCACCCCGAGAAACCAATCGTCCAACCTCGAGGGTCCGGGACGCGGTGGAGGTTTCCACTCGAGCCCTACCCTCTCGGCGGCCCGGGAAAGCATAGCCGACATCTCTGGATCCGATTCAGGCCTTGCCATCGTCCCGGAGGGCGGCAGCGCAGCCGAATCTTCCTCTCCAGAGAGCTCTCCCGCCGATGCAGTGATCGACATCCTGTCGTCGGGAGGAGCACCGAAGGATACCGCTGGTACGCTCTTTGAAGAGGGCCCAGAGAGTTCCTTTGGCGGCTCAACTGGTTGCGAAGCACTAGAGGAGCGATGGTCCCCCGAGGGTTGGTTCCCTAAGGGGTTTGCCACCACTGTAACCTTCAGACCGCCCGTGCTACTGCCCGAAGTAGTCCACGCCTGGCTGCCACCAGGACGAACACTAGATCGCGGCAGAGGCGACGGAGCTCCACCCCCCTGGAGGAAACGGAGCCTGGCCCGCAGCTCAGAGATGGTCATCTTCCCGCAATGATAACATGACTTGTCCGCAAACGCCACTTCAGCGTGTTTAGTGCCCAGACACGTGAGGCAGCGATCGTGACCATCACCCGGCGCCAGGTAACGACCACATCCAGAAACGCACGGGTGAAACGCCATCGTTAAAAAGACTATCCGTCATCTTTACAAAGACGCACCTGCTTATTGTACTCTTACTTTTTTTTATGGAAATGCTCTTTTACGTGCTAAGACGCACAGGGGAAACGGCCGTTGACCATGCAGCATGACGGGGGTAGTGCAGCCTGAAGTGCGCAACCGACTTGATACAGGAACGACCACCACTGAAGCGCCATCCGCCAACACAAAAAGCTCCAGAGAGCGCTAAAATAGAGGTTTATTTTATAGGCATAACTGCATAAATATAATTTTAAAACAACTAAAAATGTTTTGCTAATAGGAATGAATGAGTATTATTCTAATGGGAAAAAAAATTTGGTTAAAAAATAATCAAGGATTTAAAATGTGTAGAAGTGGGGCGTGTTTAGTGCCCAGACACGTGAGGCAGCGATCGTGACCATCACCCGGCGCCAGGTAACGACCACATCCAGAAACGCACGGGTGAAACGCCATCGTTAAAAAGACTATCCGTCATCTTTACAAAGACGCACCTGCTTATTGTACTCTTACTTTTTTATGGAAATGCTCTTTTACGTGCTAAGACGCACAGGGGAAACGGCCGTTGACCATGCAGCATGACGGGGGTAGTGCAGCCTGAAGTGCGCAACCGACTTGATACAGGAACGACCACCACTGAAGCGCCATCCGCCAACACAAAAAGCTCCAGAGAGCGCTAAAATAGAGGTTTATTTTATAGGCATAACTGCATAAATATAATTTTAAAACAACTAAAAATGTTTTGCTAATAGGAATGAATGAGTATTATTCTAATGGGAAAAAAAATTTGGTTAAAAAATAATCAAGGATTTAAAATGTGTAGAAGTGGGGTGGTTTGGGGGTCTTTTTCACCTTTTTCCACCCATGATGAGTTTTTCATCCCTGCTAATGTAAGTGATCGGTTATCTCACCCTTTTGCCGAGACTTCATCAGGGAAGAGGAGATGTCATCGCAAGAGGGAGGGGGGGAAGTTATTATGATTGAAGATTACACAAGCGCATAAATTAAAAAAATAATAATGATGTGCATGGATAAATCATTTATAATAAACGTTACAATATTCCATAAAAAAAAAGGATTTTCAATTTTCAATAGTTTGTGATTACATTAAATGGAAAGATTATTTTAATTTTTTAAAAATGTTTTGTGTCAAGCATGGGTGTCAGAGAACTATTACAATGTAAAGTAAATATCTGTTCAGTATCCAGTAAAAATATTGAAACATTCTAAAATAGAGGTTTATTTTATAGACAAAACTGCATAAATATAATTTTAAAACAACTAAAAATATTTTGCTAATAGGAATGAATGAGCATTATTCTAATCGGGGGGGGAAGAAAAGGTATTTTATACCTATAATTTTTTTTCTGACATGTTAATATTTTTATTATAAACAAGACAAGGATACTGAATGATTTTAGCAATGTAATGTGATGGTACATACAACATTTACACTCTGTGTATCTCATATTTCCCTATTGTCTTGTAATGTAGACTACCTTTTAACACAATTGTAGGCTATTACATGTATGGAAATTTACAAATGTAAATTATATGGAGATAGAATATAAGCAAAAAAGGCATTGTAAGCTCCATATATGGTTATTTTGGGGAGGAGATGGGGTTGGGATGCATGTCACACAAAAACTTCCGCTGATTAGGATTTCTAAGGGAATTTTGAGCAAGTTCTGGCGTTTGTACAGTTTTACAAATATGAAAACTTTTGTTTGTACGCACACTTCAAGGATGAAATCTACGCAAAGTTTTATATATGAAGCCCCAGATGTTTTACCATGAATTTTAGATTGGATAGCATCTCCTTAGATGAGCAGAAAAATTGCATTGTAGGATATTATTCTTGTTTAAATGTGATGTGTGTTGATTTAGATTGATTGATAGTTTTTGGGACAATTAGGCTCTACAATATGAATGTTGTGCATAATGATGGAAAGTTGACCTATTATTAAATTATTTCAAATTTGCATTTTTTATAGCAAAAATTTTGTCATGACTGACGTGTGAAAATGTAACTTTAATTCTACAGTCATCCATTTAAACTCAACATGATTAGATCAAATCTAAGGAAGAGGTTTGAGTGTCTGTATGAGGGATCAGCAAAGCAGGGAAACCCAACACTCCTGAATGAGGTCTACACAGAGCTCTACATCACAGAGAGTGAGAGTGGAGAGATCAATTATGAACACGAGGTGAGACAGATTGAGAGACATTCCAGGAGAGCAGCAACAGAGGACACACCGATCAAATGCAGTGACATCTTTAGAGCTTTACCTGGACAAGACAAACCCATCAGAACTGTGCTGACAAAGGGAGTCGCTGGCATTGGAAAAACAGTCTCTGTGCAGAAGTTCATCCTGGACTGGGCTGAAGGGAAAGAGAATCAGGACGTCCAGCTCATATTTCCTCTTCCTTTCAGAGAGCTCAATCTGATGAAGGACAAAACACTCAGTCTTTCAGATCTTCTTCAAGTTTTTTTCCCTGAAACAAAACACCTGAAAATATCCAGAGACAAATATAAAGTGTTGTTCATCTTTGATGGTCTGGATGAGTGTCGTCTGTCTCTGGATTTTCAGAGCGATGTGAGGTTGTGTGATGTAAGTGAATCAGCCTCAGTGGACGTGCTGCTGACGAACCTCATTGTGGGGAATCTGCTTCCCTCTGCTCTCATCTGGATCACCTCCAGACCAGCAGCAGCTGATCTCGTCCCCTCTGAGTGTGTCCATCGAGTGACAGAGGTACGAGGCTTCAATGAGCCACAGAAGGAGGAATACTTCAGGAAGAGATTCAGTGATCAGAGACTGGCCAATACGATCATCTCACACCTGAAGTCATCAAGGAGCCTCTTCATCATGTGCCACCTCCCAGTGTTCTGCTGGATCTCAGCCGCTGTTCTGGAGAAGATGTTGAGTCCAGCAGAGAGTGGAGAGATTCCCAAGACTCTCACTCAAATGTACACACACTTCCTGATCCTTCAGACCAACATCAAACATGAGAAGGACTATGAGAAGAACGTGACAGATGAAGACATGATCCTCAAACTGGGGAAACTGGCTTTTCAGCAGCTTGTGAAAGGAAACCTGATCTTCTATGATGAAGAC